GTTTTTATGAGAGTATAACATTATAACATGATATAAAACTCAAAAAAGTTGATTTTACGTGATATTGCCCCTTTTAAGCTTCTCGAAATTGTCTCAGACTTGTTTGGCACGTTCCTTGTTCTTCATGATGCATTTTGATCATTATTGTTTGGTACCAAATCTCTGAGGCCTTCTCATAGCAGATGTATTTATAATCAGGTTAAACACTCAGGTGGACTTTTTATTCACTAATTAGGTTTCAGCTGCACACGAAAGGGAGCTGAATAAAAATCTGATTTTTATTTGTAAAGATTTATTGTGAAAAATGTCTCATTTACCTTCCTCTTAGTCATACACTACTTTATGGAGGACCGAAACTGACATATTTAAAAATAAAAACAGAAATACTTAAATGGCCCAGTAAATAAATAAACACATTTAAAATGCACTGAGGGAAAACACTTACCTGTGCCTTTGTTTTAAACTACACTTTAAGCTAAACTGAGGCAGCACAAGAATGCACAMTCAATCTGCACATGGATCCTGCAACCTCTTGTCTATTGAGCAATGAACTAAAATTTATCATTTGTTTGGAGTAAGCTGAAAAAATAAACATGAAGGACAATAAAAATATATACCATGATTCTTATTTAAACTAAGTGGTGTATTTTAAGTGTATTTATTTAAAAAAATGTTTATTTTAAGTTATGTCAGTTTTGGTCCTCCATACCTATAATGAAGTTTGAGGTTGTAAMGTGACAAGATGTGGACATTTTACTTTAAAACTCTATCTTTTACAAACCATCACACGTACCTTATTCTGCAGGAAGTCCACGTATTCTAAAGCCTCTTTAAACTTGGCAGAAGCTTCTTGGAAGTGTTTTTGTTTGATGTGAAAGTTTCCTTCRTTCTGCAGCAACATGACCAGCCGCAACATCTGCTGCCAGTCCTTCCCCTCCGTTTTATCACAAACGTTGAAGCTGACGACAGAACAGCTTGACTCCTCCTCCTCCTCGCCTCCCTCAGAAGTCGCAGCTTCATCGTTAACTTCGGCACRTTCGGGCTGAGCCGATCCATCTCCCGTCGTCGTCTCCGTCGCGACGCTTTCGAGGTTCTCTTCCTTCTTTTGCTCCCCTTCCTCTGCCTCTTCCTCATCCCTTTTGCTCTTGCTTTCTGTTGTCTCCAGCTTGTTCCAGAACTGCTCCTTCTCCTCCCAGTACTTCTCCTTCATGYGCTCCATCAGGGCCTTCAGCTCGCGGTGGACCAGCGAGGACAGAGTGGTGTCGAGCTGGCCCACCATCCTGAAGTCTCTCTGGGCCTCCTTCTCGTTCCACACAGCAGCGTGAGCCTTGGCCCTCTTGTAGTACGCCTTCACACAGTCTGAGAAACAAAACCACAAACAACTTCATTATTAGTCATGTTCAGACARAAAATTAGCTTTTTGGAAGCTGAGTTATTAATTTTTGTCCRTTTAAAGCAAAGCATAAATGTGTATTTTCATTAACACAAGGTACTTCTGTCAGACAAACTCTGTTTTCTGTGATCACATGAAAAAAGAGGATCTCTGGTCGCTGCAATAAAGTCTAATTTGTGTTGGCATCTCTGCTTTGAGGCAGATAAGAACGCTCTTTCATGTGTCGGCTCTGTTTTCTTTACCATCAAAAGAGAAGAAAATGATAAAAAAAAAAAAAAGTATCATCCCAGGAACGGCCTTTTTGATAAACGTCCTCAGAAGAGTATATTTAAAATCTAGAGACRCCTGTAAGGGGTGAGCTCTGTAACGACCTGGCTTCACTTCACTTTTTGTTTGCATACCCAACAAAGAACGTGTTTTCTCTGTTCAGTTTGACAGTTTGCGTGTTTTATTTGGTTTTTGCTACATAATTCTAGGTAGATATGGAGGTAGGTTAGCTTCCGACRAGCATTAGACAGGKTCTCCACACCTTGGTCAACATCAAATTCAAGGACCTTTCAAGAACTTTCCAGTACCAATGTCCTCAAATTCAMKAACCACGTGCAATGGCAATTRCCTAYTGCTACCACAGAATGTTACCAATAAACAGGTTTAATATCATATAAATTCAATGAAAAACTGAACAACATAGAAGTTGTTGAGTCAGAATCAATGAAAGAAAGTGGATTAAATGTATACCCTTCATTCATA